AAGCCCAAATCCGTGTTGCAATCCCAAAAGCATGCAGTTCGAATCCACCAGCTGCTCTGTGGGAGAAGAGTGGATAATCTCCTCCCATGAGATTTACTGACTCTGTAAACTCACTGGAGGGTCAGCGATGGGTCAATTCTAGCTCAAAAGCACACAACAACAACAACAACAACATACACATAAAAGCTCTGGTGGCCTAGAGGAGCTGCACTGCCAACCTGAAGGCTTGCAGTTCAAATCTACCAGCTGCTCTGTGGGAGAAAGATAGGCAATCTCCTCCCATGTGATCTACTTCCTCCAGAAACCTGCCGGAGGGTCTGCTAGGAGTCTGTTCTGACTCGTCAGTCCCCCACTACCACAACATAAAGGGGCTCTGGTGGCTCAGTGCATTCAGCAGTTGGAGTCCACCAGCAGTTCCATGGGACAAAGATGAAGCATCTCCTCCATGGAGATTTCAGCCTCAGAGCCCCGAAGCTGAGTGGCCAGGAGTTGGAGTGGACCTGACGGCAGTGGGGTTTGGTCTGTACAGGAGTCGCTGTGCAGCACAGATGGCTTTTGTTTACTACACTGGCCAAAAGGTCGGCAGCTACTTCAGGAGAGAGGCCTGCTGGTCTCGTCTGAGATGTCAAGTCCATGGAGAGTGTCAGGAGCAGTTCTCCTCGCACACATGGGGTCACAAGCAGCAGACTTGACTCAGCACTAACAGCTCACACAAGTCAGTTCCAGCTCATGGCAACTCCCCATCAGGTTTCCACGGCTGCAAACTGCCAACAGGAAGAGACTACTTGTCTCCCTCGAGGAACAGCTGGTGGATTTGAACTGCTGGAGTCATAGTCTTTAGGTTAACAGTGCAACACTCTATGACTGCGACCCCAGAGCTCCCCAACAGTTGTTGTTATATGCCATCAAGTCAACGATGACTCACAGATCCTATCCAAAATCACTCTGAACCCTGTCGTGTCTTGAGCCAATTCAGATACATCTGCTCCCATTGTCACAGTGACTCTGTCAATCCACCTCACCCTGGGTCTTCCTCTCCTGTGTTGACCCTCCACCCTTCCAAGCATGATGTTCCTCTCCACTGACTGGTCCCTCGGGGCAACACAGCCCACGCATGTGAGATGGAGCTTCTTTTTTTTTTTTTAATTATTTTTATTTTTATTTTTTTTTGAGATGGAGCTTCTTGATCCTTTCCTCCCAGAAGCCACCTGGTTTCACCCTCCCCAAGACAGACCTGTTTGTTCTCTTGGTGGTCCATGATATGTTCAACACTCTTCTCCTGCACCATAACTCAAAGGCATCTATTCTCTTCTTCTGTCGTTGTTAGTCATTGTACAGCTTTCTTGGGTTAAGGGACGTGTCCTTTCTCAATACCTTTTTAGTCTGTATGAGGAACAGATCATTTGGAAGGCTGGACTCTGAAGAAGGTGGCATCAGGATTGGAGGAAGATTCATCAACAATCTGCATTATGCAGATAACACAACCTTGCTTGCTGACACTAAGGAGGACCTGGAGTGCTTGCTGTAGGTCAAGGCCTGCAATCTTCAACATGGATTGCAACCCAATATCAAGGAAACAAAGATTCTCACCACCAGGCAAATTTGCAACATCATGATGGATGAAGAAGTGATCTCGGTCTAGAGACTAAGGTACACCTGATCTAAGCCATGGTCTCCCCTAACAGAAATGTGTAACAAAAAAATCTGTTCAATCAATGAATTCTCACTCCATCATTACAACAATCTATGTGCTATGACTTTCATCATCTCAAAGAAGAGAAAACAGAGGCTTGGAGAGATTATGGAAGTTGTCTAGATGCACACCCGTTTATGCAGCTTTGTTCAGGATAGCAAGGAGTTGGAAACAACCTAAGTGCCCATCAACAAATGAATGGACAGAGAAGCTGTCCACACAATGGAATACTACGCTGCATTGAAAAACAAGGAACTCATGCAATGATTTTCAAAATGGGTGACCCTGGAGGACATTATGCTGGGTGAAATATCTCAGACACTAAGGGACAAATACTGCATGGTGCCACTGTTGTAAAATGGGACTGACATCGGGGTTGGGGGGAGACTGAGAAAGATGGGTTTAATAATGTATATTGTATTGAAACAGATGAGGGAGAAAAATGTTTAAAAGGGTATGTGATTAGGTATTATTATTATCACAGGAGTCCAGAACAAAGGCTGCATAGTGGAGTGGACCTGGGGGAGGGACTGTAAAACAATGGGGTCCTTTTCTTTTACTTTTCAAAGAGAAGAGTGTACTGGGGGGTTGGGGGGGACAGGGATAAAAGTGCAACAATGAATGAATGAATGGAAATCCAAAGTCTCTGTAAATTTTCATTAAAATTAATAAAAAATAATTAAAAAAGGAAGAGGCATTAAAAAAAAAAGTTGTCTAGAAGGGTCAGAACAAGGATTTGAAGCCAACTTGTTTTGATTCTAGAGGATGAGGTCTTGAAACCTGGATCTAAAGGAAAGAACAGGCAGTTTGAGTTTACCAGTTGCTCCTCAGAAAGAAGTGCAGCCTTCTCTCATGAAGGTTCACAGCTCGGAGACTCAGTGCAAAGTTCACCCCGAGCTGGAACCGACTTGACGGCGTTGGGTTTTGTGGTTCTCCCCCACCCAGTTTAAATATTTAATGAAATTTCAATCCAGATACCAAATTCACTTTTAAAATTATTTTATTATTTTAATGAGATTTTAGTGAAAGTTTATAGAGAACTTGGATTTCCATTCATCCATTTTTCCACATTTTCCTTCCTGTCCCCCCTCCCCCCGCAGTTTGCCTTTTTCTTTGGAAAAAATAATTCTTTCATTAGACTCCACACCCCAGACTCCTACTTTGGACTCTTGTCATACCAACAATACCTAATCATGTATTTCTTTTAGACAGTTCTATTGTTTGTTTCAATGCTGTGTACATTATTTATCTCCTCTTTTCTTAGTTTCCCACCAACCCCTATGTCAGTCCTGTTTTAGAAGTGGCACAATGCAGTATTTGTCTTTTTGTGACTGAGATATTTCACTCAGTATAATGTCCTCCAGGGTCATCCATTTTGTATAATATTGGAGGAGTTCCTTGTTTTTCAATGCAGCATAGTATTCCATTCATTTGTTGATGGGCACCTGGGTTGTTTCCAACTCCTTGCTAAATATGGGTGTGCATATATCTGCTTGGATGGCAGTTATGGTCTCTTTGGGGTATATTTCCAGTAATGGAAAAAGGCTCAATGTCAAGAAGACAAAGATTCTCACCACTGGACCAATTGGCAGCAACAGGATGGATGGTGAAGAGATTGAGATTGTACACAGCTTT